CCACTTTTTTACTTGCTGTGCTTTGTTGGTGTGTATTGACAAAAAGTCATGACATCTAATCCAAAACACCTTAAGTGTGAAAAAAAAAAGGTGCGACCAAATAATGATTGAGCGAATGAAATAAAAATTGGTAGCTACATTTATAGCATTGATAAGAATGTTACAGCAAATGTTCATTCATTAGTTACCAAGGCCGCGTATTTTGTTGAACTTGGGGCATGATGGTGTGTAAAACACCTCACATTTTCTTCACACCTAAAGTGTTTTTGATTAGATTTATGTTACCATGGTCACCCGTACATGTCGCGTTACTCTCACACATATAATAATACTTTGTCAGCTGTTTTACTTGTGTCACGTCGTTGCCAGAAGCGAAAACACGTGTGTTGATTCTCTTTAAACTTGTCTAGGTTAATATACATAAAATTAAAAAATAATGGACGCGTGTAGTTTAAAGGTTAGCATACCAGGCTGTAGATCCTGAGTTCGAGACGTAATGCTGCTGTACACAAACTACTCGTTTTTATTAACGTGTTGTTTATTCCTGGTATTCGGTTCAAAGAGCCCTTGTATCGGTGGATACTGTTGGCTAGTTGCCCTCGTTCTGGCCAGTAGTTCAAAATTAGGAACACCTATGGGATCCTTGACCTACTCCTTTAGCTCACGTGCGCTTAAGATGCCATATAAGTTTAGAATTTCATAAAACTAACTATCAAAAATCAACAAATTGTCAACTATAAACTGGTGGAATTTGGATCTAGTTTAGTGTGAATTTATCCACACTTGAAGTTAAGAAAAGAATTACCGGTACAAGTTTAATTTATGGTTTGCTGTTTTTTTTTCTTCCAAACAGGCCAGGATTGAAGAATTAGAGGAAGAACTCGAGGCCGAAAGACAAGCTAGGGCAAAGGTAAATGTTTATATAACCCAGTATGGAATAAAAACTCTCAAAATAAAACCTTAAAATGAAAAAAAAAATATATCGCATGTAGTTTTAAGAATAAAAAAAAATGTGGATTTGATTTCCCATCTATTATTTCTTCTTTGTCTTCCAGGCTGAGAAGCAGAGGGCAGATCTCAGTCGCGAACTAGAGGAACTCAGCGAACGTTTGGATGAAGCTGGTGGCGCCACCTCTGCTCAGGTACTAAAACTTAGATTATTAAAGTTTCCGTAATTAGACTATGAGAGAGAGAAAAAAAAGACACGATTTTAATCTTTTTCTTAGAGATGCATTAATTAGTATTTACATATATACGTACTGAAAATTTTCTTTGTTATACTGGTTTGACTGAAGTGAAAATACAAGCAGTACAAAGGTTTTATTTTTGTATAATTTATACTGAAAACAAACAAAACATATCGGTGTAAATACCTTTCTAACGTGTGATTAAACGTTTGGCAGATTGAACTTAATAAGAAGCGGGAAGCGGAGCTTGCTAAGCTGAAACGGGATCTGGAAGAGTCCAGCGTCCAGCACGAACAAGTCCTCTCGAACTTGAGAAAGAAACACAATGATGCTGTGGCCGAACTTAGCGAACAGATAGACCACCTGAACAAGCAGAAAGCCAAGTAAGACGTGTTACAATACACCTGTCATTACTTACCCAACAATTTGAAAACCTGAAAACAAACAGAAGATTAAGAAAGTCAAGTGATTGATATTACTAAAACTTCTTTTAACTTTTGTTTTACAGAACTGAGAAAGAGAAGGCACAGATGAAGGGCGAGTTGGATGACATGAGGTCAAGTCTCGATCATGTGAATAAGGAAAAGGTGATCTTTTCTAAGATTAGTAGTAGCGTGATATAAGCTCTTACACATGTTGATTCTTCGCCCTAAAGTTTAGTGAGATTTTTCTAATGAGTTTTTCTGCAATTTTCTCTATTGTTTATTGGAAAATCCCTGATTGTTGAGGTGAGCACGTGTTTTACTCCGGACAAACCGTGTTCTAATGGGATAGGCACGTGTTTTACTCTGGACAAACCGTATTCTAATGGGATAGGCATGTGTTTTACTCTGGGCAAACC